GCACGCTCTTTTCTACATTCACTTTGCAAATCTCAGTCAACGAAGCGGCTAATTAACACATACGACAGGAGAAGGTCTATTATGTTCTACGAATATTACGGAAAGTGAAGCGCCCTTCAGAACCTCGATTACTACTGTTCAATACGATGGCCATAGTCAGCAGCGGTAACTACAGTACACAATTTTGTTTGCTCAAGGTGAACGTGACATTCGTTCGAAGCTATTGCGTGCTTGTCTAGCAGGCTGACATTGTGCAAATGACCAGGCAATGACGTGGAAACAGCAAGTGAATGAGCGATTGAGCAAGATAAAAAGGTAAAGATTGCTCATGAACTCCAGACCCTTATATTGTCTGTGTATAAAATCTTCTTCAAATGTGTATAGATATTTTCTCCAACAACTTCCGCTTCTGATCCTTCCTCAACGACGTCTTCGAACAATCACTTACTATCATGGCGGACTCTAACAACCCAGCCCCCGAACCTTCTTCGATCATAGCACCCCTCAATATGGAATGGGCTCGAGATGAGCTGGTTCCCTTCCTGCAGTCGGTATTCGCGCAACCAGGCAAATCCGCGGATGATTGGATGAAGAGTATCCTTCATGCGAGGCGCAATATACATCTAATAGTAAGTGAACTGAACGTTACCCTTTGAAGGATAGCTGCACCAGGAAAACACCAAATATTTTCTCCTGACTTGGCAACAAGAAAGTAACATGTGGAACGCTTCTGAGATGTTCAAAAGGCACATCACTATCTCCTGCTCCTAGGCACTGACACATACAACACAGCCCTTTTACGAAGACTTTCCGTTGACGATCGAACGTCTTCGCCTGACTCTCCTCAGCTCGGAAACCCTTACGCCGAAGGAGCTGTCGAAATTCACGAAGGTCACTGAGCTAGGTAGCCAGATGTGCATTCGTATATTCGTACGCCATGCATCTACACAAGGGCCATACCTGCTCTTCTCGCTCGGTCGAGATCCAAATCCAGATCTCCGACGAGGAAATCAGGCTAGGGGCAGCCGCCCTGCTCGGACACAACCGCCGCAGCTCATGGATGAAAACAGGGCGCTGCAGAAACAGATGAGCGCTCTCAACCTCGAAACTGAAGGTCATCACGGAGGCAGATATGTTCAGACAATTCGGCCACGGCAGCTTCGTGGAGGATACGAAGGACATCCAGATAACGGCCATCACTTTAATCGAGGAGCGCGTGTGTCTCAGGCGGTGCAACAGCCGTCCCCGCAATACCCACCAGCTCCATTTGGTGGATACAATCAGCCCTACGACGATCCTTCGATGGCGCGTACTCCATACGCGCCTACTCCATCAATGGTTGGGTACGGTATGCAGCATTATGGCAACCCTCCACCGCAATCGTACAGTGAATGGAATGTCAATCAAAGCTACCACAACGCGCAACAGGCCAACTCTGCTCAACCACGAGCCAGTAGCGCTTACCCAATGTCGCCACCACAAGTAATGCTTGTTCCGCAGCAATTCCGCGTGCCCAGTCGTCAAGGACAACAATTCCAACACCATCGTGCTGCTTCAGCGGGTCAACAAGGTCAAGTATTGGCACAGAATGAAGACCATTCGGTACCTCCTCTGGGACAAGCTTCATCTTCAAGAAGAGCTAGCAGTTCCGTGCTCCGTCCTGAAGCGAGACCATTCACTCCAGGTAAAGCTATCTAGTAAAACCATTTGAAGGTATTGCTAACCTTTATTAGGATCTAGAACTACGGATGATTAAACGTCGATTTCAATTAGCAAGAGAATTCGGAGGGGCCGAAATGTGTAAAGATAAGGGCAAAAGTTTTGAAAAGATATGCTGCATGGCTTGCGATCCGCCTCAGTGGAGATGCAACCTTCATCCTTCCGGAAAACAGATAGCCATAGATGTGCAATTGAAAGCCGCTGGTTGGTGCGGTGTTGGCTCCGCCAACTTTTCCTCCAGATTTCCGCTTGAGGACCGTGCTCGTTAGCGTGAGGTTTGCCCGACCACCAATATTACCCACCGCTTCATCATCACTTGAGCACTTTTGCAACGCCATCCCAACCACGCCCCTTCAGCCATCGTCTCGCGCGTGATCAATTTCAGAAGGAGGTAACAATAATGAAACGCTTATACTGATAACCCTACATCCAAGCCCTTGGCTACCATTCTCACGGAGATCCTAGGTCCATTCAGGCGCGTTGCAATCGTGACTAGGGCCAGAATGGGAGGTGACAAGACCAAGAAATGGAACAAAACTTGGCATTTCTGGCGCGCCCGCATGGAAGCTTCGACGACTGTTATCTTTTCCTGCTTAGCACAGCTTGGCACGTCTTTTTCGAACGTTCCGCCGCGCCCATGGTACAAGGCTGGTCGCTCGTATTGGCGCCCGGATCCTTTGCTCATTCCTATCTTATCCTGACCCTGGGGCTACCACGGCCTTGGATGCCTCTAAGTAACGCGCTTAACTGCGGCAGTATGTCTGAGGGGTCGCATTGTGATCCTTCGACCGGACTAGGCGCCGTCCCATGGTCTTGGATGCTGTTGATGTGCATGTAGCAGTGATAACACACGACAACCGAACGAACGAAATGCCATGGCGAAAGTGGACACGCTCGATAGTCGCGTGCGACCCTTGTGAAACTCCTGTCCAATGCTTCGGTCTGGTTCCCGATCTGCATGTATATGAAGAGGGGCATGGTACACCTGTTCGCACCGCAGGCATTCAAGTCCATCGCCCATTGCGTTTGCTTGACCCCCCACCGCCAGCGTGTGATCTCGCGCATTCAGTTCTGCGGTTGTATCTTGTTACTCCTGCTCTGCCTCGAAGTTTGGTTTAATATCATCTTCAGCACAATGGCAGCCACTACCAACGTCAAGGCGTCTCTGGAAATTACCAAGGGTGCTACTGCTACCGACCCAATTCCAATCGACACCAGCTCTACAGGTTCTATCAACGATGAGCACACCAACCTTTTGGGTCCTTTCCCTACTGAGGAGGAGTGGGCCACTCTTCCCAGGGTTGCTGGTCGCATTCCATGGCAAGCATGGACTGTAGCTGCTGTTGAATTCGTCGAGCGCTTCAGTTACTACGGTACCAGTGCCGTCTTCGTTAGTGAGTGGAATTTGGAACAACATTCTTTGGCATGTATTGACTGTCATCAGACTTCATCCAGAAGCCACTTCCTCCTGGCTCCAAGACGGGTGCTGGATTTCTCAAGAAGCCCGGTAGCGGTGCCCTAGACATGGGACAACGTGCTTCGACCGGTCTTACAATGTTCAACCAATTCTGGTCCTACATCACACCTCTCGGCGGTGCCTGGCTAGCTGACGAGTACTGGGGACGTTACAACACCATCCAGTACTCGAATTTTATCGCTCTCATTGGCCATATCATTTTGATTATGTCTGCCATCCCCGCCGTCATTGTCAAGCCCAACGTCTCCATCGGTATCTTCGCTGTCGGTCTTGTCATCATGGGTATCGGAACTGGTGGTTTCAAGAGTAACATCTCGCCGCTCATTGCCGAACAGTACAAAGACCAGAAAGCCTACGTCCGCGTAAAGAAGAACGGAAGCAAGGAAATTGTCGATCCCGCTACCACCACTGCGCGTATATACATCTACTTCTACTTCTTGATCAACTGTGGTTCTATCTGTGGTTCTCTTGCCATGGTTTACTCAGAGGTAATTGCCCTGTCAAGGCATGTTGAGCAACTATGCTAACGTCATTCAGCACTTCGTTGGTTTCTGGCTTTCGTACACACTGCCAACTATCTGCTACCTACTATGTCCGATCATCCTCATCACCATGAAGAAACACTACAAGCTCTCGCCACCCACTGGATCTGTTATGGGCAAGGCTTTCAAGCTAATTGGTCTCGGCATCAAAAAGTCACCCCGCAAGAACACATTCAAGGATGATGGTTTCTGGGACAGGATCAAGCCTAGTGCCCTTCGCGCTAGTGGTGAGAGCGTCCCTGACTGGATGACCTTTGATGATGCCTGGGTCGACGAAGTCAAGCGTGGTATCCTGGCCTGCAAGGTTTTCCTTTGGTACCCTCTGTATTGGCTCGCGTACAATCAGGTATGAGATTTAAAAAGTTCAGCAAGTATCTTGAGCTAACGATTGTAGATGACCAACAATCTTGTGTCTCAAGCCAACACCATGAACCTCGGAAAGACACCGAACGATATCGTCTCGAAGTTGAACCCCATCTTCATCGTTATCCTCATCCCAATCATGGACTTCCTTATTTACCCTGGTCTGCGCAAGGCTGGTGTCAACCTCTCGCCCATCAAGAAGATCACTGCTGGATTTGCACTTTCTTCGTTCGCCATGGTGTCTGCCTGTGTCATTCAGTACTTCATCTATAAGATGTCGGCATGTGGTGATAACATTAATGCCCTTAGCAAGACCCGCGACGACTGCAGCGCCGACATCTCCGTCTGGGTCCAAGTCTTCCCCTACGGTCTGATCGGCATGTCTGAAATTTTGGCATCTATCACCAAGCTTGAGTACGCGTACACTAAGGCACCCAACAACATGAAGTCTACCATCCAGGCTGTCGCTCTCTCCACCTCCGCTGTCTCCGCTGCTCTTGGTCAGGCCTTTGTCAGTCTGTCCGAGGACCCACTGTTGGTATGGAACTATGGTTCTGTCGCTGTTATCGCCATGTTCGGTGGCATCGGTTTCTACATGACCTTCCGCAAGGCCGACGCTCAAGAAGATGCTATGAACAACATGAAGGAGAGCAAATACATTGGCGGTCGTGAGGTTGGTGACGCTGAAAACGTCGAGACTCTTAGCGTGAGGGACGTCAAGAACGAGAAGAGTGGCTTGTAAGCGAGATCACTGGGTTGGCAATGGGTACATGATAGTAATGATTTGAATGGAATTCATATATGAGCAGTTCTACTTTTCCAAATCTCTCGGTGTAATCAACCCATCCTTTGCCGCCTGTCTGAGCCATCTCAAGCCATATCAGGAACGATACAAATAGTGAGTATACCGCGATCTGGTTCTCAGGAGGTCTGCTTGAGGTCAACAAGGCTCTACTTTCAGACATCAGATAGGCAAGCATAATACAGCCAGGAGGTCGTGGAGCTTTTCGAAGCTCTCCAACGTGGTCTAATGGTAGGGGCAGGAGGTATACAACTTACTCAGATAGCCACTCCACCTCCACTAGCACCTCGACCTCGACCACCTCCAAAACGGCGCCTGTCTCCAATACTACCCCAAGGATTCCCACTTGGAGAAGAACCAGGTACCGGTGCCTTGCCTTTCTGCCCAGGCGCCTTAGGGACACTGTCGTCTGGAGGGGGACCAAAAGACGGGAAACTGATGTGTGGGAGCTGATCTGGAGTCGCACCAGCAGACCTAGCAGAGTTGACTGCTGTCTCATGAGAACGCATGGCTTGGATCGCTGGCGCCGTCGGAGGTAGCATGAGACCACCGTACTGCTGGTAGTGGCGGTACAGGAGTATATCGACAAGTGACCGGTTTTGACGAATCCAGTCCATGGAAGCGTGACCGAGTTCTGGATTGGCGATGCGGAGGATGAGTTCGTGGATCAAGGCAGGGTTTCGGTCGAAGTCATCCTGATTGTAAGTTAGTACCTTCTTGGAGCAATGGTTGAAGAGGATATGAATGCGGACTTACGATGGTCTCGCTGAGGAATATGGCGTTATTCATGTCCGGGTCGTAATTGTAATTGGGACGAGCTTGTCCTGAGTTATCTCGGACTGTGTACGCCCAGCGCATGAATGGGGTTACAGACTCGCCGTTCCAGCGCTGGAGAGGGGTTGGTACGTCTTCTCGGAGATGGTGGACAGTTGGAGGGATTCGGTGACCAGGAAGAGGCGGCTGGCCGACATGAGGAGGGGACAAGGGCTCAATACCGGTACGAGAAGGGATTCGGCCATGGCGAGGAGTGTTGTAGGGGTTTTGGGACGAAGATTGCCCGTCGCGTCGAGAAGGTTGGCTGGCTTGCGAACCAGACATCCTGGCGGTTCACTGAAAGAAGAGTTTTGCAGGATATGCAAGGGAGATTTGAACCAGAAGGATAAATGCTATATATATATGATCTAGAGATGTTGTGAAGGTAGCTCTGGAATTTTCATTAATAAGAGGGTTAAGGAAGGAGGAAGTTCATTATATATCTTAGTAGCGGAGATCATATTGAGATGAGGGGCGTTTGCTTTCGAGCGTGACCTTGGATTTTTTGAGATAAGATGTGCGTGAGAGAATGTATCTGTGACGCTTTTGAGCAGGTTTGCGCGAACTTCTAGTCATGAGGAAGAAAACCTGCGTTTGCAATTATACATAAGTAGCTATGGTAGTGCGTGGAAAGAGGCAAGTCTTCAGGTTAGTGTCTTATAACAAGTTAGTTTCCAGATTGATTATAGTTCAAGTGAACCGACTAAGGGTTTTCGGCTTAATGGTGTGGGCAAGAAAGTGAAATGATAGCTAAGGCTGTTGAGACATGAATAGCGTTGATCATGAACACTGCCTATTACAAAGACCATCAATACTAAATCTACACTATGAGTACATCGATACATAACGCCTTAGGTGACTCTTCTGCTTACTTTCTTTACCCGGGATGGAGCTCGTTCTGTCTTGCCCTACGGGACGTTTGTGAAGAAGAAAACTTACCTTCTCCAACAAGTTGATTAGATTGCCACGGCTTGCTGATGAACGGTAGAGAACGTCGGTTCAAAGGTTCTTCCTGTGACACATGATTGTACCATGCACAAGGGCCCCTTTTCCAGAAAGAGTGTGCTGGGCTCGTGACATATCAGAGACGCCCACAAACAGATGAGTCCGCTACAGACTTCTAGCGTAAATAAATCTCCTTCGTATCCAAGTTATTTCGTCCGCTTTGCTCGGTTTGAAATCGTGACCCCGTATTGCGAGTTGTTAACGCATCAAATCCGCCGCAAGGGCTCAGCATCGGAGCGCGCGCGCAGGAATCGGTATTGGTGTAGCCGTGATTACCATACTACTTATGCTCGTTGCGCTCTTAGCCTGGAAGGTAGAAAAGAGAAGAAGACAGGAGCGCCGTGCCACTGTAGAGTTACCGCATAACCCTCTCCACGAGAAGTACCAAGAAATGAGCTGTTATCCTGCAGCGCCACCCGCCGAACTGTATGCAGGGAATGTAGCCGTAGAGATGGCATGTAGGGATCCAGCGGAATTAAAAATCGGACAGAAGACAACACCGCAAGAAGAGCGACCCTATGGCCTTGACGATCGAAAAGTCGTTTTGCAGCCGTAGAAGAGCGAAAAGACATCGTAATCACATCGCCTGACACTCACCAACGACTACACCACGTTGCTATTAATGAGGAAATTCAAGACACAGAATGACTATGATGAAACAAATGCATTTCGTTTACACGCGCAGAATGAAATTGATGAGACCCTAGAATACACGCCGTCAAATGGATCGCAAGTGCATCTCAACCGATGCCATTATTTACCACCTCGCTTCCCAACTTCGAAGCCCTCGTTACCCTTCCGTTCGAATAATACATGGAGACGTAAGACATGCCGCGCATGTTGGTGTTGCGCGTCATATGTGTAGATTGCTGAACGACTTTGCGTATCGATGCCGTTACATGATTGCTGCAGGTAGGTATTGTCATATCTGCAATGGAGGCTGCGTAATCGTCTAGCACTTGGCGTCACTGGCCTTGGAGTTCATGAGCAGGGCGACAATGAGTCCGTAAAGACCTGGTGTATGTCAGTATAAGCCTTCATCGCGATCGGCGAGTAACGTACCCAAGACTTCGGCGAAAATGAGAATCAAAATCATTCCGACGAACAACCTAGGCTGCTGAGCGGTTCCTCGTACACCGGCGTCACCAACAATGCCGATAGCGAAACCAGCAGCCATACCCGACAGGCCGACGGCGAGACCAGCACCAAGCTGGATGAAGTTGGCAAAGAGCGAAGACTCCTGTGTCAAACCGTTGGAGATCAACACGGACACGACGAGACCGTAGATACCAATAATACCCGCCATGACAACGGGAATAATGTCTGAAGCATGTTAATTATGTTACGACATTACGGAGTCCATTGGTCTAGGCGTACTCTTGACAATCAGGTCAGGGCGGAGGACACCCATGGCCGAGACACCAACACCGGCCTTAGCGGTTCCGTAGGCAGCGCCGAAACCTGTAGATGGGTATACCAAGTCAGTACTTGTTTCACATGCAGTTCGCAAAGAGATAATACGTACACGCGAACACGATAGCTGACGTGCAGCCCATCGCGCCGAAGAAAGGCTATTTGCTCATTAGCCTAGTTCTTTGGGTAAACATGGCGCAGTCTGTCGCGTCGACAATGTTGATATCGAGATGCAAGCTGAAGCGACAGGAAGCAAGTAGTCAGACAACAGCCAACATGCTAAAGACTATGCTATGCAATGTTGATGGTTGTTCGAGCTACGTGATGGAAGGAGGTCGTCGCGGTGCCATCGCGTCGGGAGGCGAAGCGGAGGTTGGTTCGAGGACTTACAGCATAGACGGGGCTGTATTCATCGTGTTAGCTAGTGTTCGTGTTGTACGCCAATAAGGAAGCTTCTCCGATGCTCAGTCGACAGTCGCGAGCCCAGCTTATCTCCAAGAGGCAAGCTGGAGCTGCCTGCATGTGAGACAAGGGAGCTCCGTGTTCACTCACCAAAGTTCGGAGACCATCTTTGCGGCGGTGTATGTAATCGACGAGTCGTCTAAAAGGGTGTCGAGATCTTTATTGAGATGGACGGGAGTCGTGGATGCGGCGACGGGAGGCGGTTGTGATGTCGAGGAGTGGTGACGATGGTTGGCGAAGAGCTGGACGTCGCTCGCCTCGACACTATACCCATCCGGTCACTAGCCTGCGCCATCACGTGTGCCAAGACCGATAATCTTGGTAGCTATGAACTTTTCGGTTTCTCCATTCTAAATTTCTAAACTACCACCTCTCCACTACAATCCGGGCGAGCAAGCAGTGTAAGTCGCATACCTACAGTCTCTCCGATCTACTGTCGGCGCATACCTACAGTCTAATCCTTCACACTCTTGTCGCATCTTAGACTCTCGTCGCATTACTCACATCTCATAGGAATCCTCCTTCGGACGAGCTTCAGCAGTGAACCCTACCATCACCACACCTCTACTACCATGGCCGAAGACAACAGCGCCGCATGGCCCCAGGCCGACCAGGCTCTCTCTCAGGAGATCCTCGACCTTGTGCAGCAGGCTGTGAGTTCTCTAATCCCAACAGAGACGTTTCGAGACATGTACTGACTTGGTGCCAGACCCACTACAGGCAGTTGAAGAAGGGAGCCAACGAGGCCACCAAGACTCTCAACCGTGGTATCAGCGAGTTGATCATCCTCGCGGCCGACACCTCCCCTCTCGCCATCCTTTTGCACTTGCCCCTCCTTTGCGAGGACAAGAACGTCCCGTACGTCTACGTCCCATCCAAGATGGCTCTCGGCCGCGCTTGTGGTGTCGCCAGGCCCGTTATCGCTGCCAGCATCACGACCAACGAAGCTTCCGATCTCATGGGACAGATCCGCACCCTCAAGGATAAGGTCGAGCGCCTCCAGATCTAAGCCAACAGGGCTGCTACCGGTACAAGGGATTGCAAGAGGTAGAGACTTGTTTCGCAATACTGGAAGGTTTACGTAGCGACAAGATGTCAGAGACCTGGGATGAAATACGCCCATTGTCTCTGTACGTAGACCGAGAATGAAATGCCGAGCGCAAGTCGGCATCGACTCTGCCAAAACTGAACTTCTAGCCTGCATGCTGTCTTGATCTTGTGTAATGCGCGATTATTCTAGTGTTAACAGATACAGAAATTTGCTGGCGCATGATTCAGTTGCAAGTAGAGCGCATTCATCTTCTCTCCAATGCAGCGCTAGGCTAAAAGCCTCAAGTATAGAATCTGTACGAACTCTACACAGATGCTTGTACAAGATGGATGTGACTGCGTAGGCCAAACGCAGCGCTACGTTTCTAAGCCTCTGCCTCGGCCGTTTTTATGCGATGCTCTCAGCAATATTACGTCACGTCTGTCGGGGGCTCGGTACCCTGACTCTGTACTCCGAATCTTTCGAGCTGTGATTGCTATGTGATTTGAGTTACGCAGGCCGGACTGTGTAGCCACTTATGTCTTCGACCTAGCCCAGTGCGTTAATGCTATTCAGTTCAGAGCAAAACCACGTGGGCCATTTCAAGCTAGCCGGCGGGTACCTTACATCCGCTCGCGCCAGCATCGGGCATCCCAAGCGAATCTGTCAATTAAAAGAACATCGAAAGACTCACAGATTATTGTTCTCATCACGTAACGCGGAAAAACAGCGAAACTCAACCTAATGTTTTACTATTGTCATTCAATGACAAAGCACGCCTATAGAATTCCAAAAAGCCATCAAAGGAAACACGCCGAAGCTGTTACAGATCAAAATAATAGAAAGCTACTGTCCGTCGATAGCCCATCACTCGCCAAGCTGCAGGTGGAATTGCATGACTTTTGCCGTCAGTGTTGCGTCTACATGCCCATATACGCCAGTTAAATAGCTGTAGTGATAGCCGGTATGACAACTGTAGTCATGGCAGAAGGACTGATAGATCTGGCAACCACCGCTTGACTCTGCGCCGGCGCAATTCCTCCAATGTCGTTGTTCTTGCATGACGTGGCAGAGCACTTGTGATAGATGTTCATGGCATTCGCATTGCCGCAGATCTCGTTGGCATTGCCCACATAAGGCTTGGAGCAGGAGCCCATGATACCATCCTTGGGTGCGTACTTGGGATTGAGGTTGTTGTTGCAGAAACATTCGTTGCCATTTTCAGGCGCTGCGTAGGCGAAGCCACGATTATTGCAGTAGTCGACGCAAATCTCCACCGTCATGTAGTCATTGTACGTCCACGAACCATTCATGGCTCTATCGCTCACGTTGTCCGTGCCACATCCAAGATACTCCCATTTCTGGATCGCAGTCAGGTCGATGTAGTTGGTAGAGCCGCCGGAACCAAGTGTTGGTGAAGTTCCAGAGCAGGTTCCTGATGTGACGCGCTCTAGACCATAGGTGACGGGGTTGCAGCCAGGGAGTGCGGCAAGCTTTCCACTCGTTGACTCGCTGACAGATGTTGGTAGCTTGCAGTCATTGCATTCTTGGTCAGTGAACATAGTGACCGCGGCGCAATCCTCAACCCGACCTGAGTCGTCCGTGCAGGTATCAATCGCCTCCTGGAGTACGTCGACGTCCCAGCCGTTGAAGAAGTCACCGTGGAATCCGAAGCCAGTTGCATCTCCTTGGGCGAAGACAAATGGATTCTGTCCATCAACCCATTGATCGCTGAACAGGGCCGTATCATAGAGAAGCTCGAAGAAGATCGACACCGTGTGGACAGGATGAGAAGACGGACAGTTGCCACCGTTGTATACGTTGCCGTCTGGGTAGCTCATATGACTCTTGTGGTCCACAGAATCGAGGTTGACTCCATCCCAACACTGGGGAAAGTAAACCTGGGCTCGCAGTCCGCCTGGACATGGAATATCAGGAAAACCGTTAGTTTCAGGTTTGTTCGCACCAAGACAGTTGAATGAGATGCCCTGAGCGGCAAGACTACCATCATAGGTGCGGGTGAACGGGTCACCAGCGACCATGCGGAAGCCTTGTGGAAATGCATGCAGTTTCTCTGTCTGATTGTCTCCACGACGTTGGAGATAGTAAACGGTCATGCCGCCGTTGGTGTCGCTTGGGTCTAAATACAGGCGTACGAACTTAGTATGTTTCTCACATGTAGCTTGTGCAGGAACATTTACTGCCCATGACAGGAACTGGAGCGAAGCCAGATCCATCTTTGTATTTGACATAAAGTTGAGGTGTCCAGTAGTTAGACATATCCTCCTTGATTGTGCATGATGAGCACTTCGAAGCTTGGGTGTCTGCGTAAGTCATAGAGGCTTTGAAACCTGCGCCACCGGAGATTGTATGGACGTGACCAGAAACGGCCCCGGGACTGACGATAGGATCAAGTCGCTCTCGGACATTTCTTCCGGGGCAAGACATGCGAAAAAACGCATCCGAACAAGCAGCAAGGCCAAGGGTAAGAAGAACATTGTTGGTGAACATATCGATGAGATGCTAGCAAGGTAGCTTGAGGCAATGAGAGTGAAGTGCTGATGTTGAGTTGAGAGAATCCATATAGGCACCTTTATACATACTCAGAGACAGACAATTTGTGATTGTGAGTACTGAGCTTGTGTGACAGATGTAAGAACTGTAAAGCGTGGGACGCTAGGAAGATGATGATGGTAATGTCTTTGTTAAGCAGTAGTTTCGAAGGTTTAGGTTAAGGTATTCAGCCCAGATCCACAATAAGATGTATCAAAGTGAAGGAGTTGATCCTAGTCCGTGGCGTCTTGGGCTGCTTGCTCACTCTCGATCATCGTGCGGGATATGTCTTTGGCTGCTACCGCAACAGCCCCACATCATATTTCCGCTTAATCTTACGTTCGAGGGAGGAGACCAGATGACAGTTCACCTCGTAGCTCTAATGATGGCAGCAAGGCTCGGTACTTATACACGCGCTTTACATGAACGTATATCACCTCGCCAATGTGAAGGAAGTCATATTTGCGCGACATCGTCATCGTCATCGAGACATGATATGCAACTGTTCCGAGTAGTAATATCGAGTAGCGCAGATTGCTGGATGCGATAGTGGCATACATGAGGATGTGGACCGTCCGAACCCGCTCTTGCGGAAGGCGCACTTTACCATGACGCCAAGACGAAATCGCAAGCCGCATTCGATAGCGACCAACGATTGCCCGGCGTGTTGGCATTTCTCAGAACCGTTTTGATGTTGTCGATTATCAAGTGGTGATTCCCAAAATTGTAAAAGCAGTAGAACGCAACCGCCGCCTGTAGTTGACGATGGCCGTTAGCGTTGTCGCTAGCCGAAATCGTCGGAGCCGCGTTGAGCGAGCGATTGCGGATGCGGCACGTGGGCCTTCGTACCTCTGCCCACGGTCTCCGCAGGACGAACCTCCTGCGAACTCCTGAACAAAACACAAATGATTCTCTTCATCCGCCCCTACCGCATACGCTTCCATGTGATGAAGCTCCGATATCGACTGAAATCCTTCAACGACTAGAAATACCGATAGGTCCGGTGTCGCAGTTTCCACACCCTATGGTCAGCGCCTTACCCACCTCTGTTTAACGACTGGGTCTCAGGAAGTATGAAAGTAGCACAACTTCTCCGTCAGCAGCCACCGACCGAATTATCGCGTTGATAGTGCTCAGTACCACAGTGCAAGTGGTGTTGATGAGGAGGCGAGACAAAGGGGCATCTCCACTATGTGGCGCATGGTACAACTCCTACGACAACTCCAACATGCATATCGTCTTCCGAATACAGAATATGGGGCTCGATCCATAGGGATTGGGCTTTTACTTTCCCATGACTTGTTTCGAGGGCTTCTAACGCGATGTGGTCGCTGGACCGAGCCGGATCTGCAAGTACCATGGTACGACTCTACCCACGATCATCTTAACAAAATCGCCCGGACAATGAGGCAATTGCAAGGAAGATCGCCATGTCTTCTCTGGATGGACTATATCGCATAAGGTATCTTGTGTGATATTCACCAACAGGAACAAAAACGAGGGAGGTACCGCTGCCAGTTTTGCCAAGTCAGGCGACACCACGACTGCAAACGTTGTCAAAGTGGGGACACTGCTCTGGAAGGCTACCGTTACTATGTATTACTCCAGTGTATATCCTGCATGCAGGAGGTCATATTCCCGGAACTTACAAGAACACCTGCCCTCAGTCATCCCCCTCGTCTGAGGCATCGGTATTGACCTGTATTGTCGAGCGACTGGTAGATACATCCGGCGATTGCATATGGTTTCCAGCTTCAGATCCTAACATACGCTTTTGGTATGGTAATTGCGGCCCGCTGCCACCTTGGTCCGCAACGCTTGGCAACGCTGACGACGAGGCTGAACGTACGACGGCCCTCGACGGTTGGCCATGTGATCTACCCGGTATCTGGGAAACGCTATACCCACTTGGGTATTACCTGCGAGAAACGCAATCAACACGTGCTCCGGGAATACAAAGTGGAGTCGATATGAGTTGATACGGAGCATACACATCCCGTTTAACTAGGTTAGTGTCCACCCCCTAACATCGCGGGGGCTAGTAGCCACGAGATCTGACATTCCAAATTTTCTTCAGGTAGGCTGATAGTACCGTAGATCGTCTGATTACACGTCACCATCTTCCTACACAACACTTGCTGAGACTGTACAAACTGTGTTTGGCTGCTGTTGCTGACAATCCCTAGCGATAAGTGGAGGCAACGGTTATCGTCTTTCCTGCGAAGTATGGTCGAGCTACGCCATAACTCAAGTGCTTGCACTGAACAACGACGCTACGCTGCTAAGTCCAACTTCTGCAGCCCACTCCTATTCTTCGATCGTGGATCGGTACCTCATGGGATAGCGTTACAATATGGTACAGTTTTCTACCAACGTTGAAGGTGTCAGACGACTATTGAATACTGTACTACCTCAACTTTGATCGCAGTCTATACTTCGAAGCTTCGGACAGCTGGAATCTTCTGCCAAGCCAGCAAACACATTGAGTCAACTAAATGTAAGAGATGGATGACATCAAGCCTGTGTTTGGGCATCGATTTGCGCCAGTGGTTATTCTCATGCGAACCACCGCGAGATGAATTCTCCCTATCGGTCCGTTTTGCAACCCCGATTATAATTGTAGTGTTGGCTTCTTGGTTACAAGCAGCCGAACACCACCAATACCAACACTATGGTTAAGATCGATATCCCTAGAAAGTCGCGCCGTTGGTTTGTATCTGGACGACTTCTACCAAGCTCTTCAATGGCTTTGCCCTATGCCAAGCTAAGTGGATCCGTGAAACGACAGGCTCCCCAGGCTCGAACTTGCGTTCTGTTCAACCTTGGTAACAGCACGCTTGGTCAGCCAATATGCAGACGTACCCAACTAGCATTCCATGCCAACAAGACAGCTTATCTGCGAAAGCCACCAATGAGCTGCTATTGTGACTGGCGAATCACAGAGTAGTGCAATCTGGTAATTGTAGCAGCTGAAACGAACTAGCACTTGCGGTCCCAACGTCGACATCGACAGCAATCAGCCACCACACTTGCATGCTCCAGACTCTAATTATCACGTCGTCCAAGTGGTGTAAGCTCACCGCAACTTCCACCATGAGCCACCGCAACTTCCATGAGTGGCTGGCACTACGCAGAGTGTAAGGTCTACTCTTACCAGGAGAGCCTGTAGAGCTAACGGGGGGTTGGATTGTGTTCATCTGCAGATGACGGGCTGAAAAACTGCTTGCCTTTGATCGTGCTGAGGCTAAGCGTGAGGGCCCTCGGAGGGAGGGGGTAAAAACCCCTAGATTCGGAATGCTGTCTCACGATATGATGAACTTCCGAATTTTCTGAGTTACGTAGTATCGGCCGCCGCGGCAGTATCGGCTTTCGTACCATCGGCTTCCTCACCACTACATCGCAACCGTCAATTCACTCCCGAAAGGGGCATCGAACGGCGGCATCTGTGACAGGCAACCCACGTGTACCCCGCGGATCGAGGTCGCTTACACCTAGTTCTAGAACTAAAAAGGGCTGACAGTCTATCTTGAGGCCCAAGTGGCGATTACCAACCCACATGGCCAGTGCACATGGGCAATTCTTCACATGCGCCAATATAGACGTGACATGCGCGGGCACGTCAGATGTCAGAAATGCCAGATCCGCGGGAGACGGACCTCAACTAACCTGCTAGTCTGAGAACGGTTGATTGGCCAAGGGTGTTCGACCCGGCGCATGTCTTTGGTACACTTACAATACACTAAGCCTCATCTCGTCTCTTTCAGCCTGGGTATCACGGATCCACCATGCTCCACCACGTTTATACTCTCACCCGCCCACGTCCAACGGCTCAGACGGCGCGTGAGGCCAATTTAAGTACTAAAGAAGGGTACGGGTGCTAAACGCGCTTGTGTGACTTCCACCAGTATGCTGCTCGCATAATCTCTCTAGCACGAACGACGCATACCAATGTGACGGGCCTGGTCATCCTGGGTAATACGCCAAGGACGAAGACTAACACAGCAACATTTCGGGGTGACCGACGAAAGAGGGGACATGATACGATAATCACACAAAGAGACGCAGGGACTCATTGTCTGAGGAAGGTTCGGCGTGTAAGGAGGGGAGCAAAGCTGAGAGTTTCGCGACAAGAACCTAAGCGAAGCGAGCTCTGTCTGTCATCGATGATGGCCTGATCACCAAGAAGGAAGACAAGCTGAGACGTTTGTTGGCATCTGGCATCAAGGCGGAGATTTAGCCACAGGCCACGAGTACGTTGAGTCCAGCTCGGTACCAACGACATGCCACTCGCCCACTGCAGACGCCCTGTGTAGGAAGAACGTCTGGACCGCTGTTGTGTGTCGCCCATCGAAACACCTTTGCGTTGTAAAGGGTGTTGCGTTTCCTTTTGGAAAAGGCGCTGAGGAGGCTGAGATGCAGTATCACGGTGAAGAGACAGCTCTCGACGCTCTACGCCATCTACGAGCCGACACAGCATAAACGCACGTGGTAAAAGTCCAGTCGAGACACTCTCGCACTGACACCGCGCATGTTATTCCCGTTTTCTGCTGTCTCTTGCTCTCTCCATTCGACGATATCACGCCAAGACACGAAAAAGCAATCCCTAGCCACCTGCCGCCACTTTGCGCCTCTACCAGACTATTAGCTCGCAAAAAAGCAGCTTGTTAGTCGCCCCGAGGGGGAAGTAGGGTCTTGAACCTTGTTTCCCTGTCGTCACATCTTTTCTGAGGTACCGAGCAGGCATAGTCTGGTTTCCGCGGAAGCAGACACCCTGAACCTGGCTAACGTTTGCGGTGTAGGGCCAATCCCAATATGGACGCATTGCTTTGTTGAACCACGGTGGAGTACTGCTCTTGATCGACGTGGGCGATCGGCGGTGCTTTTCTCATCGTTCGCTGATTGTGACTATCCACTATTCTTTTGGAGGGGGTGAGTTTAACCCCTTGATTGGTGTTGGGCGAGCGTAGGGGTGGGATGTATATATGGAGGGTATGTCTCCTTGTATAGAGTCACTATCCAACCATCAATTCCATCAGCTGCATCAGCTTATCCAATCGAACATCTTTTATACAAAATACATCTTACTTGGTATTACAGACCGATCTTACCACACATCGCTTCGTCACTACAGCGGCAAGGCATATCACAACCACTGGGATACCATATGCTCCTGAGTCAATCACAACTACAACCACAAATCAACAATATGCCATCAAAAGGCTGGACAACACTCCCACCCTGCCCAGGCCCACCACCAAACCGGCCCCTCCCTCCACTACCTTCAAAGTCATAACCACATCGAGTGGAGGAGTGAAAACGACGTCGACGCCATCAGTCGAGTCGAGCAGGAGGAAAGCAGAATACCCACACGTGTACGATACGATACTTTGCCGCGACTTCAGCTTGGAAGGAATCGTAGGAGACAGAGGACTTGATTCAATTCTTTGGTGACGGAGAGTGACTTGCTAGAGTTTAACTCATTGTACGAGATTTGGTTTGAAAGGGCTTCATTCAATTCTTGGAGAGTGAAGATCGACTTGCTAGAGTCTGGCCTATTATGAGAGATGTATCTGAAAGGGCTTGGGGCGAATTACGCCTATTGCGAGGCATGGAACAATGGTTTCGTAGTCGAATTGGGCGAAACAATGACAGAGTTCTCTTGATGCAGTATGCATGGTCATATGTCGTGATCAATCAGCCCCGATATGCATGAAGTGACTACCACGGCTACCTACGTCCATACACCAACCTCTAGTGTAGACGGATACGATCTGCAGCGTTAGTACCCTCTTGGATTTGACGTATTGCTTAGTATCGCACGACTTGGGTAATGTTAACCGACGGAAGCATGCAGCCTACGATAAAGTGACTTGAAACAATCTTCATCCGAGGATGTTGTTATTATCGACTACAAAACCAGGCTTTTACTTTCCTCCTGGGAAGACAAGGCCATTGTCGTGCCTGACCTTCTGCATGATCGCCAAAGTATCCCTGCTATGCTGCTCCAGTCTCCCTAGCGCAGCCTCGTCCTTATCTTCAATGCATCTCGCAAACTCTCTTGCCTCTTCAATCAAGTTCAGCTTCTCAGGCGTCTTGACTCCTTGTACTTCTTCCCGTGACTTCTTCTTAGGATCCCAGAAAGTGATCTTGTCGATGTCGGTGATGGTTGGTACAATCAAGGTGCCCTTCTCGCCATAGATCTCAGATGGTGCATCAGAGTTGTAGATCTTGGAATGGCAGAGGTGTACAGTAAAGTTGGGGTAGTGGAGAATCAAGCGACCGGCACCGTCAGCTCCCGTTGCGATCTTGACAGGGTAGTACTGCGAAGAGGTGGGTGCGCCAAAGAGATCGACGGCTGCAGCCACACAGTATACCCCCAAGTCGGCAAGAGCGCCACCGCCCATCTCGAGGTTGAAGATGTTTGGTACTTCGCCTTGCAGGACCTTCTCGTAGCGTGAAGAGTACTGGGCGAAGGTGATAGAGGCGCCATACAGGGGACCAAGGTCGGAGATCTTTTCCTTGAGGAGTTTGAAATTTGCTTCTTGGATGTGGCGGAACGCCTCGACAAGAACGACCTTCTTCTGTTTGGCTAGCTTGAACAGATCATCCAACTCCTCGACTGTGCTGCATGAGGGCTTCTCCAAGATGACATTCTTGCCTGCATTGAGAAACAGTTTGGCTTGCTCGTAGTGTAGGATGTTCGGGCTGGCGATATAGATTGTGTCAATCTTGTCTTGTGCTAGGGCATTGAGGTCGGTGTATGTGGTGATTTGCTTGCCCTCGTACTTGGATGCAAACTCTTTGGCAGTCTCTTCCTTTCGTGAGTAGACTGCGGACAGGTTGTATTTCCCAGTCGCGTGTGCGGCTTCAACAAAAGAATGGGTGATCCAGTTGGTTCCGATGATCGCGAGGTTAATCATATTGGCAGTGTTATTGTTCCGGTGGTTAAAGTGATTGAGTGCGAATGGAGAAGACGAGACGCCTGATATATATGTCGTTCGCGTCGAGGGGCAGTCGCGTTCAACCCCACTAGGAAGCTTCAAGCTCCAGGTCTTAGTGTGATGTCATTGGCCGACTGTTCGGACTTCCCAAACCGGCAGTAGTAGGCAAGACTAGACACTAGTCTCTCGTGTTTCTGTAGGCAATGGGTCAACGATAGAGAGCGTGATTTTTCCAGATCAATCGGTATTGTATTGCAGGTTACTAAATGCAGGTCAGACTGTAAGACAGCCTCAAAACTAAAGCTCCTGAAGGAGGGTATCATGCTGCGACGACGTGTCGTGTCGTATCGTTGAAATGTATCATACCATATGCGTAAAACAAAAGCGCATCCTCGTTCCATCCATGAACGCTGGTCCGAGCCGCGTTGGGTGACGATCATAATGTGAAAACAAAAAAGTGCAAGACCAACCATTCGCCAAAAACAAACCCCAAAACTCCGTACGCTCAAAGCCGCGCACTCGAAAGATGCAGTCACGCTGACAGATCAGTGTTGAGAATCAATCTTCCCAGATGGTCTCCAGATCCAGGTCGCCGCGTCGTTCCGCTCCGCAGACACTCCACCTCTTCCTCGAGTCTCGCTTGCCGAAACCTAGACTGCGCCCACGGCCTTCTGGCACATCTAAGCTGGACCTTCTGGCCTCTCCACCATCCTCACGATCAGCGGCAGCCTTCAGGCGCCGTATGCGGTCGGCCTCTATAGCCTCTTCTTCTGCGTCTGGACTGTCTTCGATAGTCTCGAGGGAAGAAATGGAAGGACTGCGGGAGCGCATCGAGGTTGGTGTAGAGGGTACAGACGATGAAGCATGTGACATGGGGTAGTTCTCGTTGAACCTGGATGGTGCGAGGAGCGGCGAGGAGGCAGTTGATGTTGGAGTGCTGACCGACGGGGTACTGGTAGGCGGTGCGCCGAAGGACACCGAGACTTGATAGAGCGGTGAAGCTGGTCGACGCCGCCTTGAGAGCGAGCCTGTGCTGCTGTACAGACTCGACACGGTGGTGCCAACGCGTGGCGTGAGTTCCAGCTCGGCATCTTCTGAGATATCGCACACACTCGGAGCGCCCTCGAAGGAGCCGATAGAGGCCGGACGGATACCCGAGCCGTACCGCTCTGGGGCCCCTACTGTATGCGGCCGTGGCTCCAGTGCTCGCGGGCTGCGGGTCCGCTTGGGCGAGCGTAGAGGAGAAGCCGGGAGGGCAAGCTCCATCGGGGTAGGCGAGAGCCTGAGGTTGCCAGACGGTTGCATGACAGTAGGCAACGAATGGGCCCGTGTCATGGGCGGCGCGCTCGGCAACGCTGACCCGCTCTGGGAGCGAAGATGAGAGCGAGAGTAGGGCGAGCGATTCCGTGGCCGAGTGGTGAGGGAGGTGAGAGTGTCGGGCTGGGGGTCCGTCTGCGAGCGTGGTGTAGAGGGCCTGCGCGAAGTCATGCTGTCGTCGGAGGTGTTGCTAAGCTGGCGGGCGAGGGTGCTGCTTTCTCCCATGGTGTCGGCAGAGGGCTGGCTTGAGCTCGAGCTTGAGCTTGAGCGTGGTGTGTCTTGTATAGGCGCTTTGGTAGGAGTCGGTGTCTTGTTCGGGCCTTGAGGCGGTGTCGGGCTCACAGTGGACATGGACTTTAGGCGTTGGACAAGATCGTCGTGATGCAGATCTTCATTCACATCAGGCGGCGAGGAAGGATTTGCAGCAGTCATGACGGCGGTCTGCGAGTATACATAGTCTGCGCTCAAGACTATGGACTGGAGAGGCCGAGGTGGAGCTAAGGAGCGCAGGGGGATAGCGCGGTGCTCGTGTTGTTCTAGGCGCTGAACGCACGATGGACCTTGCAGCGTTTCAGCCGCCGGAAACTCACCTTTTGCGCGCCGTGACTGGCCAGCGGCGGTCAAACTGCTCAGCGACAGGTATGAGCGACAGACTGCGTGCGAGATGCGGCGTGTTGGAGCTGCGAGAGTCGGAGCGGTGCATGAGAAAGCTCACGATGCTGCTGTTCTGCGACTCGAGAGGGAGGGGCCGCGACGTTGGTACCTGCCGCCGAGATTGCCGCTATCGAACATCTGGGGCAGTCGCGACCGCTCGCGATAACAAGGCCACAGCGAAGCCGCCACTCATGCAAACACTACGCACCATGTCAAACAATACTTTGTTTGCTACATAGCCGGGCATTTGACATGTCCCTACACATTAAACTGTCATCACCATCCCCGGCACATTCGGTCGCCTCCCAGTCTCCAGCCGCCATGATCCCTGATCAACACCGGACAAGACTCTAACGAGACCCTGAAATTGGGTGCAGCTGACTAGCGCCCCGTTCCACCGCCGAATGTCGACAGGCACAGGCCAATCACGCCTCTGCTCTCGCAGATTAGGACGCTATCGTGTGCCGAATTGGGTGCGAGCTGCTAGATGTGGATGCCTTAGGCTTCATTTCGCGACGGCGTGGCTATTTATGCCTCTTCCCCACATAATTTATCGCCCTTGTCCGTGTATTGCTTGCATTAACTTTACCACCATCATCTATGCCGCTCAAGGGTCGCTCACAATCGATAGTCAAAGTCTGACTGCGGTACTGACTAGACGCCTCTTAGTCAATTTCGGTTGCGCACTCGTGAGAACCAAGGTTGGAACGACTAGGGCAAGGCAGGCTATGTATATCTCATCATTGCGATCAGCGGAGCACTGTGTACTCACTTCCCCATGGCCGTAACGTCGTCGGAACCTGTTTCTTAGGTAGCCCCGTCACAGACGTCGTTGCAACAACATCTTCTCATGGCAGATCTTAGCCATCCGCACCCCTCTATTTGGTAACGACTCAAATTTCACTACAAGCTTCGCAAGGCATCCCATATATAGCCAACTCAATCAGCTCATCTGGATCGTGCTAAAAACGACAAAGGACAACAAAGCTGGTAATTACCAGAAACGAGACAGCGGAACCATCATTGGTTAATTGCTATATCAAGAGACGGGAGTGTTTTTGTTCCATAGTTGCTAGTCGCTATCCGAAGCCCAACTCCACTTGAATACTTGGAAACAGATGTGTGTGTGGGCGTCATACCTTGTGAACATTCTGGAATCGACCAACTTCTTCAAAAGTTCCCCAAGGCCACAAAAGTTTCCACTCGTTCGATTACGCAACGCCCCAACACCTGGGTTGCCACATGGTCATCGTAGCAAGGATGGGCAAGGTCCTAGGAGAGACGCGCTCCTGGACACAGGAGCTCATGGAAGGGTAGTGAGCCAATCGACATCTTTGCAGTCTGCGGTGATGACCAGTACTAACATTACTCTACTCTACTTCACAAGCAACTATCATCTGGTATAGAAGTAGGATAACCACTAATAACAATACATACGACCATAGGACACTGAAAATTAGGCTTCCCGTCCGCTCAGCCATATACAAGCAGTGTACCGGCGGATTAGTAGTTAGGTGGGTGACCACTAGCGAATCCCCGCTGTTGTATGTTTTTGTACTTTTTGTTGCATCTTACGAGCTCGGTGCTAGGCAGGAGCGGTAGAAGGGCAAGAATGTATGGTGGTGGTTTTTCTTTGTTGCGAGGGACGAGATGACGTTTCCGCAAATCAGGTGCTCGCCTTAGCTACCTTGTCCTAGCAATTATTCTACCAGCTATTTCACACAAAACTAAAAACAGACCTCTGTCTCTATTACTAATAAGCTGCAATAGTAAGCCCTTACCTCCTCGCTTCCTTATACAGCGCAACCTCCGTGCCCTCGTCCCCTCTATCGTTTGCTTTACTTTTATTTCCATCTGAACCTTTACAAATGCCTGGCCTTAATCAGATCTGCAGCCTTCTCACCAATCGCGTACGCAGTTGTCTGTGTATGAGTTCCGGGTATCAAAGGGATGATGCTAGTATCAGCGATGCTGAGACCCCGCGTTCCATACACTCTCAGCTGACCGTCTACCACACCCCCTAGCTCGCGAGGCATCATAGCAGCAGTGCCAACACTATGTCCATTTGACGCCATGAGCTTATTCTGATTAAGTAGCCAGTCCTCCCAGCCCGCGTCGTCTGTAACCGCACCAGGAATCGGATCTTGCTCGACGATGTCAAGGTCTTTGAAAGCCTTCGATTCAAGAAAGTGCTCTCGAATGTATGTTTGCATGCGAACGTGCATCTTCTTATCGATAGGGTTGGACCAGAGGCGGTAGTCGAAGATTGGATCGCCGAGTGGATCGACGGGGTTGATCTTGACGTAGCCGCGAGAGAAAGGCTTGAGCAAAATGCACATGCCCCAGCCCTTACCAGAAATAGGATGTTCAAGCCAAGCATTGGTCTTGGACTTGAAGGACGCAAGTAGAATCTCCTTTTGTTTCTGGTAGCCCAAAACCAGTTCCTTTGGGGTGTCGTTGGGGAGGAAGTCCTCAGGCTTCTGGTTGGCAATCTCCTCGATCATCGCGTCGAATGCTTCGCCAACAAAGGTTGCAGGAGGTAGAAAGGCGCCACTGCTTGTGACCCAAGCTGTATACGGACCTCCGTTGGTTTGCTTGAAAAGGCTATATACTTCCTCCTTGTACGTGGCGTTTGATCCAATCGTGGTTGGCTTTGGGAACGAAGTGTCGCCAGTTTGGTTGTACAAGCTGAGGGCAAAAGAGTGATCCTGTAGGTTCCATCCTACACCGGGAAGATCGATCAGAGTTTTGACTTTGGCGGTATTCAGAACATTTTTCGGGCCAATGCCAGAGTACTGGAGAAGCAGTGGAGTGCGGGTAGCAGATGCGGAAAGAATGATCTCACGTTTTGCTTTGACTGTGAATACCGTCGAGCTGTACCGATCTCTAACCTCGACGCTGACCGCATGCTTCCTTTCGTCCTTCTTGGAGCCGGAGAAGTTCACCTTTGTAACACGATGCAGAGTCAATAAATGGTAATTCTTTCGCGGTTGAACTTTGATGTAGTGACTCAGACCAGCGAAGCTTCGGTTGTATTGCCTCGCGGGGTCCATGGACGTTGGAATCCAGAACAACCCATATGCGTGCCCATCCGCGTGTTCTGTCTGAACTGGAACATTCTCCTTCTCGATCCAGGCTTTCCAATGAACTTCCTGGGTGGCATATCGAAAATCGGGGTAAGCACTAACCACGGAACCATTTTCAGCATACGCGGCAGGATTGTACGTGATGCCCCATTCCTTCATGGCTGGTGTTGGTGGTGTAAGAGCAGAACCTTTCTTGAAGTAGGGATAGAGACCCTCCCAGTCCCAGCCACCGTTACCAGGAAATTTGGCCCAATTATTGTAGTCTTCCGCGCTACCACGGTCAAAAAACTGTCCATTGACCGCGGAACCACCGCCTACAACAGCTCCATTGGCGACCGGGAACGTGCGGTTGTTCACGTTGGTTTGTGGCACCGATGTCAGGTTGTACAGGAATTCTGGTGCCGGAGTGTTATATAATGGCATGAAAGAATCGTCTTGGGCAAGGCGACCGTATTCGACCAAGAGTACAGTTTCTGACTTGTTGAGCGGCGATCAGAAACGACAAGAGATCGCTTACGCTTGCCGTCCTCGGAGAGACGATCAGCTACCGTGGTGCCAGCTGTTCCGGCGCCAACTACAATGTAGTCGTATTCTTTGGCCACATCAGTAGCTCCTTGCTTCACCTCAGCGTTGCTCCACGATGGTAGCGCTTGAACAACGGCCACGAAGCTGAGAGCGATCAAAAGAGTGTGTGCCATGTTAGATGTCGAGGAGCTGCACATTGATAACAGAAGAAGCAACATATAGACGAAATAGTTATCTCTAAAAAGATTACTAGTTGCCAGCCGCATATGGCGGTTCCGATGTTGTTATCTAGGTACTACAGGAATTAATCTCGAAGGCTTGGCAGACAACCTTGGAAGGAAGTCTTCGCGCATCCTTCGGAAATGTACCCCGCGGAGCGACACCGCGACTGCGATTGATGCAGGGCGGGCGGATCGCTTCTACTTTCATGCTCCTGGCACGACATTCTTCGGGCGTTCCCAGGACTCACAATCGTTGTCTCTACAGAGTTGCGAAAGACGTGACATAGAAGGCACAAACATATATTTGGTTCCTCGCAGACTGTGTCAAATGGCATGGTTTTGGTATCTCCGTATGCTGCCTTCCAGACGCCGCGTGAGAATATAGCTGTATTGCTACAAGTCTGGATAACCATGCTACTAGCCATGTAAGCTTCTCCACTTCATGAACGCCATTGTGCCCCGTAACAATAACACCACTTATGCCGTCGTATCGTAAGCCAATATCTCAGACCTACCCCATATTATCTTCGCGCTCATTCAGCACTCTTCACCTTCGCAGCCTGCATCTTACCCAGGATGGTCTTGCTCTTCGCTTTGCCCTCGACCTGCTCTGCTCTGCTGAGACCAGCATAGAACGACCGCACCTTGTCGTGTGCAATGACCTTCCTAGGATCGAACCGCAGGATCTGCAAACCAGCCATGCTCGTCGCACGGGATAGCGCAACGTACGCTTGACCCTTTTCGAAGACCTTGCCAAGATCGACGCGCACACGCTCAAGCGTCTGACCTTGTGCTTTGTGGATGGAAAGCGCCCATGCGAGGATAAGCGGGATCTGAGAACGCGATGCTTGCACTTCGCCGTTTGGTAGCTCGATTTTCCAGTCTTCGCGCTTGCATAACAGGTCGCGCGTGGTACCATCTGCGATGGCGAAACGGACTACGGGATAAACCTGGCTGCTGTTTACGCCGAGCGAACTCTTCATCATCTCTGTCTTCATGGCAGCTTCTGAGGGACCACCTTCCAGGAAAGCCTCTTCGTCCTCCTTGTAGATACTGAACATTTGCTCAGTCATGAAGCCTGTAATCTTCCCTAGCGAGCCGTTCACTAAAGTGTCGTCCATATTCTTTACCAACATGACCTGGGCACCTTTTTTGAGATGTATTTGCGCCGGTACCATACAGCTCTGTAATAACCTATCACGCTGCTCTTTGTTTGTGATCGTACCACCATCGCGAGCTTCGAACAAAAAGGTATTACCATGGAGTTGCTGCATACGAGTTGTGTTTGCCTTGTCAACTTCTGAACGTGTAGGGAAGAGTTCTGTGGCTTCGACACTCTCGTCTCCCTTTGGCAGTGGACGCTCTAACTGCTTGAACCGATTAATCGAGTCTTGTGTCAGTCGGCCCTCTCGCATCTCGTTCAGCATATTCGCGAAAACGGGATCTTTCTGACGGAAGACGTGGTGCAGCCCAATCGTGTGCTCGATGCTTGTAGTCCAGGTACCTGCATCGAAAGCGAATTTGGCCTGCCGTCCATTCTCTGGGACAGGAGGTAACTGGAAGAAGTCGCCAGTAATGACAAGCTGAATACCACCAAATGGCCTGCCATTGTTGCGAATCGTGCGAGCGATTGCCTCCAACTTGTCGAACAGATCGCCGTCCACCATGGAGACTTCGTCCATAATCAGTACTTTCGTACGCAACCACCGCTGCTTTGCTTTGGCGTTTCGTCTAATCTTTTTGACCAAGTCTTCTACGGGCTCTTTGCCAAGTCCGATACCCGCAAAACTATGTAGGGTAACACCGCCGATGTTGCACGCTGCCAGGCCTGTGGATGCTGTGACTGCTACTCGATCTGGCTCACGGGCGTATTTCCGCCGTAGCGCTGCGATGATCTCACGAAGCAAGACTGATTTACCAGTACCTGTCATTGTTAGCAGGACCTCAAGCTAATACCCCAGTCCACATACCAGCAGATCCAGTGAAGAAGACGCTCTTCTTGTATTCCGCTACTAGGTTCAACACGTTCTGTTGCTCTTCACTGAGGAATATCTTGTGAATAGTGTTCTTCTTTTTCTTCTTGATCGCCTCTTTCATATCCTCGTCGGTGCCCTGGTGCGCTTTTGCTTGAGCCTTGTTAGCCTCCCTGAAAGTTGTTC